GTCCTTGAGAAGAAGAAGGCCAGCTACAAGGGTAAGGCCATTCTCATTTCTTCACCCTCGGAGGAAGCTGTCAAACCTCTTGAAGATGGAGAAATTGAAGCCTTTGAAGAATGGCTGTTCACCAAGATGGCAACTGATTCTGTACAGCCCAACTTCAACCCAGGAGGGTCCTCTGTACTCAAGACAGAAGGGCAAGCAATGATGGAGCAAATCAAGGAATGGAGGACTTCCTTGCTCGTGGACAACATCATTGAGGTAAACTCTCCAACCCCTTCTGTTTCTATCCCAACAGAACCACATATTCCCTCACCTTCCACCAGCACAGAAATCCCTCCACCAGAACACCCTCAACATAAATCTCCTGAACAGAACACCCCCACCCCTCCTCCATCACCCAAAAAGAAAATTGCATCTCCCTGCAGAGCAATTGTTCCATACAGAAACCGTTCACCTTCACCTCCCCCATCTCCCCCTCAACAGAATGCCTCACCTATTCACTCCTCACCCCAACACCAGAACCCCTCACCCCAACAGATCTCCTCCTCATCCTCATCAGAATCTGATCATCAATCTCCTCCTCCAGAATCTTCACCTCCACAACAACCTGCAGGAAACCTAAAACATGTATGGTTCCTCAGAGATTCTGATCCTACAACTGTCTCCCCCATCTCTGCACCCAAAGGGTATTCTATGGACTCTGTTGCCCCCAATCCCTCTCTGAGAAAGAAGAAAAAGATAGTACGCAACAGAATCCCCATCTATTCTTCTTATGAAGATTCATCTGACATGGATGGATTCATGATCAGCAAATCCCACAAAGCAACATCCAAGAGACAGAAGACCCCTCCTCTGACTCAACTGGAACATGAACAGCTTGTTCACTCTCTGTCATCTGTCCAAGAACATCACCCACTACCTAGGGGAAGAGGTCTAGAGATGCCTCAAGCAGATGGACAACAGAATGACATTCCCTTCAACAAGTTTGTTGAATCTGCAGAAGAATTTGGAGGACAGATCCTCCAAGGCTTGGACAAGCTGATAGAGATAAATGATAAGCACTATGGGCATCTTGCTCATGTGAATGACAATCTGAATTCAGGGATGCAGTTCATCTCTGACCGTTTTGAGAACCTCACTGGGACACTCAAAAACTTCATCGCCTCCTCCTCTGCCAGAACAGATGTCCTGTCAACAGAAGTGGTAGGCATCCACAACACTTTGTCAATCTTTCAGCAGACTCTCCTGAGTCAAGGACAGGCAATCCACCATATCTCAGAGCATCTTGAGGCTCTGAAGAAATCTGATGCCAGAACAGAGAGGCACCTGACCTCTATTGAGCAAATGTGCAGAACTCATCAAGAACAGGCTCAAGCCCTCCTATCTACTGACAGAGACCGGTATCAGAAGATGGTGCTCCTTGAAGCCAATAACAAGGACATCTTCTCTGCAATACAGAAGCAGCAAGGTCTGATTGAAGGCCTTACATCTGTCACTCAGACACTACCAGAGGCCCTGGAGCAGATAGCCTCAACCCAAGCATCAGAATTCCAGAAGATCGGTCTTATGATAGAAGACTTGAATGATGCCAAAAAGGGGGAAGAGGACCCTCAACAGACCAGGCCTAGGTCTCACAGAACCCCTACCAGAGCACCCTCCTCTGGTGAGCCTGCAGTAGATCCGGCTCCCTACTTTGAGGCTGCCTTACAAAAGAAAAGAGCAGCAGGCATACCAAGACCCCCATCTCCAGTCAAGAAGAGCACCAAGAAGAAGAAAGTTTTCAACTTTACTGAATGGAGATTGGGTGGCTCTCAGAATATTGACAGAGCCCAATTTGAGGAAATGAAGACTAAAATGACTCCTACCCAACAACAGCACCTCTATCTAGACAAAGATGGTGTTGTCAGAGTTAGGTATGGAGGATCTCTTGAAGAAGCAGAAGAATGGTACAAAAAGAACATTGTCCCAGGAAAGACCATACATGAAGGTGTCCTCAACTATTTGGACTGCAAGCTCTCTCCAATATGGGCATCTTATCAAAGGTCGGGCAATCTGTTCAAAATCCGAGCTGAAATAAATGAAGAACTGCTCAGGCTTCAAAGACTAGAGGAAGAAGCTCTACAGGCAGCTAATCTGGAGAATGTGTAAGGTTTAATCTCTGTAAAACCTATCCAATAAAATCACATCTCTGCCTTCTTACTTTGAAGTGCTTTTCCTCACATACTTGTCTTTTTGCCTTCTGTTTGTGTTTAATTATTTCTGTTATATCCTGCTATCTGAATGTATCGTACTCTTACTATTTTCCTATGCCAAGTTGCCCACCAAGATTTTAATGAAAAGTTTTAAACTTTAAATTTTTATGGTGAAGGCACTTCTCTGGAAATAGTTAAAGGGTTTTGGCATCATCAAAAAGGGGGAAATTGTAAGGAATAATTGTAATTAGATTTTGATGATGCTATATTAATTAGGACTTTAGAGTACCCCTTTAGAAATTATGTATTAGAATTTTCCTTTGTAAAATTCTTAGATGTATTCGACTTGACAGAAGTGCTTCAAGAACAGAAGACCTTCAAGAACAGAAGTGCTTCAAAGACAAAAGTGCTTCAAGAACAGAAGTGCCTCTTAAGGCTTTATTGAAACAGAGGACCTTTGGTTCTCTGCTCCAGAACAGAAGTCCTCAGGATCTCTGTTACTCTTGACACTGACAGAAACCCTTCTGGGTCTCTGTTGGATATTCCCAACAGAAGTGCTCCAGACCTCCTCTGTTCTAGTCTCAGACAAAGACACCAGAAGGCCTGACACTTAGAAGATTTTCAAAGAACCGGGAAGTCAACTAAAAGATTCCTTCAACGGCTAGGAGTATAAAACGGAAAAGCTACAGTGCATGCATTAAATGCTCATTTAATGCACCCCATGCTACGTAGAGTAATTGCAGATGATTGGCCGGAATGTTAGGAATACTTTATCCCAAAATAGTAACCCGCCAACTTTACCGGGCTCTACTAGTCAAGTCAACTGATCGCTCATTTAATGCAGTTGTCCTCCTACTCCTCCAACGGGAAGACAACCTCAGTATAAAAGATACACTACGAAGAACAACCGGATAACTTTGCCATAACTTTGCTATCACATTGCTACAAGCAAGATATTCAAACTCTGAAAAGCAAAAGCCTCCTTGAGATTCAAACTTATTATCCTCTACAAGAGAAGGCAGAAGTTGGAAAAATACTCTTTCCAACTCAAGCAAAGTTCCAAGTGTTCTTCAACTCTTCAAGCTCATCACATACAAATATTTTGTAACGAAGCTAGTTGGAGGAACCTCAGTTTCAACAGAAACTCTTCTTGCTACAAGAAGGACGTCCAAATAACTGGAGTAGTGAAGTGGTGATACTTCAAGGAAACTCAGTGAAAGGACCAGTGTTAAAGGAAGCCAGGCAGTGCATCCCAGGACACATCTAGGCTTGAAGAAGACGTGGAGTGCTTCTTAAGTGCTAGGACTAAGGCTTTGTAAACGGCAGTTTTTACAGCTTAGTGGAACAGTGGATTAGAGGAACGAGTTGTTCCTTGAACCACTATAAAAATCCCTGGTGTCGTTTACTTACTGCTTTTAATACTTGCACTTAGATAGAACTGTATAACTCCTTGGACTTGGTATCTGTGTTCAGCAGAACTGGTTCTACGAGTTAACAGAAGGCCTTCTGCCTTTGCTTCTCTGAGGCTAACGGAACTCCCTGCCAGAACCCCATCCGCTGCCAGTCTGTTCTTTCAACAGAACAGGCTATTCTGTAAATCTGGTACTTAGTTTAAAAAGCTAAAAACCAATACAGTCTATTCACCCCCCCCCCCCCCCCCCTCTAGACTGTATCCAGTATAACCGGGACCTACACTTTTGAACATGGCTCTTTGTATAATTCTACTATTGCTTATGGTTATTCTGTTTCAGACCCCCAAAATTATGAATGTGATGTGAATGCTGTTAAATCAAAGCCTTTTAGAAAGCTCAAACCTGAAAGAGAAACCAAGAAAGGAACTTCTAAGGGAACGTTTTGTATTCCTGATATGAAATATTCTCTCAGAGTTCATTCAAGGAAACATCTTAATCGGTTTTCTAAAGAGGAGATTTTCAAAACTAAACTGAAGAAACAACCGTTCAATCACAAAGCACCTGTCTACTCTCCCCCTAAACCTAAAATGGAAAGGTGGGTCCCCAAGATAAGACCCACACAAACTGAAACAGCAAGGTGGGTCCCCAAGATAAGACCCACACAAACTGAAACTGAAAGGTGGGTCCACAGACGAAGACCCATCCAACATGAACCTGAAAGGTGGGTCCCTAAGATGAGACATCTCAGACCCACCAAAACTAAAAGAGAAACTGCTAAGTGGGCCCCAAAAATCAGACCCACTGCAAAAGCAAATCTGGCTATCGGAAAGCCCACAAGAGATAGATCTTTTGTTGAAAGAGCTGCTGACCTTGGATCACAGCTCAAAGCAAAACTTGAATGGATGTTTTTCAATGATGAGGAAGGACCCATTCCAAGATGGGTACCTGAACCTGTTTAATTTTTTTGCAGGACGGTCATGTGTGGCACTTGGATTCTGGATGCTCAACCCACATGACCGGAATAAAGTACCTACTGAGCAATCTTCTGAGCATAGGACAATTCTGAGCATAGGACAATTCTGTGACAGTGGGATGGAAGTGAGGTTCTTTGCCAAACAATGCTGTGTTCTAGACAGCGAAGGGAACTCATTATTAACGTGTTACAGGACCTCCAACCTGTACACTATTGATCTGAAAAGCGTTCAATCCACCACTTCCATCTGTCTGCTGTCCAAAGCTTCAACGGAACAAAACAACCTCTGGCACAGACGTCTTTCCCATCTTAATTTCAAGAATTTGTCCATCCTGTCATCGAAGAAACTAGTGAAGGGGCTTCCTCCGTTGAAATCTTCCACAGAGAATCATTGTAGTGCCTGCAAAATGGGCAAAATGATGAGAAGCTCCCACAAGTCAAAGCCTGTCCCATCATCTACTTTACCGCTGCAACTGATACACATGGATCTGTGTGGACCTATGAGAGTCCAAAGCATCAACGGCCGCAAATATACACTGGTGATCGTTGATGACTTCTCTCGGTACACATGGACAAAATTTCTTCGTAAAAAGGACGAGGCAGCAGAAATCATTATGACCTTTGTCAGAACAGTCCAGAAACTGCTGCAGCAAAGTGTTCGAATCATCAGAACTGACAACGGTACTGAGTTCAAGAATCAAACTCTCACTGGATTCTATGAATCTCTCGGTATCACACAGCAATTCGCAGCAGCCAAAACCCCCCAACAGAATGGAGTGGTTGAAAGAAAGAACAGGACCCTTGTCGAAGCGGCACGCACCATGCTCATCCAGTCAAGATTGCCACACTTTACACCCAAAACAGAACATCTATACACAAACGCTTCGACAAGACCCCATATGAAATCCTTTTCAACCGAACTCCGGATATCTCATTCTTTAAGATATTTGGCTGCAAGTGCTTCGTACTAAATGACAGAACTGATAGAGGTAAGCTAGACGCAAAAGCCCAAGAAGGGGTGTTCATTGGCTACTCCCAGCAGTCCAAAGCTTACCGAGTCTATCTTAGAGACAAACGAACGGTCATTGAGAGTGTGAATGTGACATTCTATGAGATGGCTGACTTCGCAACGGAACACTTACAAGCTGACTCGTCACTTATTGCAACAGTGGACTCTGACACAGTTGAACAAAACCCAGTACCTGAAGGTGTGATTCTCAATTCTCTCTTTCAGAACTTCTACGAGAATTCACAACCTTCATCTTCTCCATGCACACCAGCTTCATCGTCAAACATTCCACAGCAACCAACTCCTTTCACTGAGATTCAACTCCTTCTCGGACCAGATAATGAACCATCTACTCCGTCAACTCCCCAAACTAATCACGGGGGAGTGGATGATCACGGGTTTGCTACCACATCAGAGTCATCTCCACCGCACGCCTCAGCTGCTCAAGAGTCACCAATCCCCTACCAGGACTCGGATCAACCGATCATTACTCCTAATCCTCTGGCACATGAGAGGAAATGGACAAGAGCTCATCCCACTGAACAAATAATCGGTGATCCGGGTCAAGGTGTGCGTACGAGATCGGCTACTATGAATGAATGTCACTATGCATGCTTTCTAAGCCAGAATGAACCATCCAAAGTCTCAGATGCACTCGCTGAACCAGATTGGGTGATTGCTATGCAAGATGAGCTCAATCAGTTTGACAGACTAGAAGTGTGGACACTCGTGCCTAAACCCCCTCAGAAAACCATAATTGGCACCAAATGGGTGTTCAAGAACAAGAAGGACGAAGAAGGCATAGTGATACGCAACAAGGCACGGCTGGTCGCTAAAGGATACAATCAGCAAGAGGGCATAGACTATGATGAAACATTTGCACCCGTAGCAAGAATTGAAGCAATACGCCTCTTTCTTGCGTACGCGGCCCACAAGAACTTTACCGTCTTTCAAATGGACGTCAAGACTGCCTTTCTGAATGGAGTCTTGGAAGAAGAAGTCTATGTCGCTCAGCCCGAAGGATTTGTAGATCCCAGATATCCCAACCATGTGTACAAGCTGAAGAAAGATCTGTATGGGCTGAAACAGGCACCAAGAGCTTGGTACGATGCCTTAACTGAATTTCTGGTTGACTCAGGTTTCTCAAAAGGGAAGATTGATACCACACTTTTCATCAAGCGACAGAAGTCTGACATCATCCTGATTCAGATCTATGTTGATGATATCATCTTCGCCTCCTCAAATCCACGTCTGTGCAAACATTTTGAGAAACTTATGAAAACTAAGTTTGAAATGAGCATGATGGGAGAGCTGAACTTCTTCCTAGGCCTGCAAGTAAGACAACTCTCTGACGGCATTTTCATCAATCAGTCCAAGTATATTCTGGAAATGCTTAAGAGATTCAACATCGATAGCAAATCTTCCATGTCGACCCCTATGTCCCCCACCAACAAACTGGACTCAGACCCTTCTGGGAAATCAGTCGATGCCACAAACTATAGGGCAATCATTGGATCTTTGCTATATCTCACGTCTAGCAGGCCTGATATCGTCTTCTCTACATGTTTATGTGCACGCTTTCAGGCGAATCCGAAGGAGTCCCATCTGACCGTTGTTCGAAGAATACTGAGATACCTCAAAGGCACAGTGAATCTAGGCCTTTGGTATCCCAAACACTCAGGTTTTGACCTCGTCGGATACTCTGACGCAGATTTTGCTGGTTGCCGGATGGACCGCAAAAGTACCTCGGGAGCTGTCCAGTTCTTGGGCGATAAGTTAGTCTGCTGGTCTTCCAAGAAACAGAACTGTGTGTCAACATCTACGGCCGAGGCAGAATACGTCGCGGCTGCTAGCTGTTGTTCACAAATATTATGGATGAAGACCCAGCTAAAAGACTACGGTCACACTTTCTGCCATATCCCGATCTACAGCGACTCACAGAGTGCCATCGCCATCACCAGCAACCCGGTTCATCACTCCCGCACCAAACACATCGACCTGCGATATCATTTCATCAAAGACCACGTGGAAAAAGGGGATATTGACATGTACTTTGTAAGCTCCGAGCTTCAACTGGCTGATTTGTTTACTAAGGCACTGGATGAAAAGAGATTCCAGTTCCTGGTTTCCAAATTAGGAATGTTGAACCTCGAGCCTTTGTAATTCTGTTTCCATTGGTCTGTAAAAAGGGGTGTGCGTGTGTGGGACTTGTACAAAGTGTGCGTGTGTGTGTTTGTAAATAGTGTGTGTGAGTTGCCTTTTTGTGTATTGTGTGCGTTGCATGTGTCCAGGGGGAGAAACCCGGAGAAAATACAAAAAAAGTGTGTGTGCGTTTGCATTCATCGAGGGGGAGAAAAAGGACAAAAAGATCAAAAAATAGTGTGCGTGAGGTGCATATAGTGTGTGTGCATTGCATTCATCAAGGGGGAGAAATTTTTAAAAATCTCAAAAATTGTGCGTATGTTGCTTTCAGCGAGGGGGAGTGCTGTAATTGGTCTGAAAAGTGTTCTTAAACTCTTAAGGCTCAATGGGCTTAGCTACCCGTTCTGGCCCAAATTTTTCCCCGGCCCGTTCCAAATCAAACTCGCATATATAAACTATTTCGGTCTCCTTCTTCCTCATTCTTACGCATCTCCTCAGTTCTCGCATTTCTCAAAAACCAGAGCTTGGTTTTGGAATTCTTCTTCGCCTTCTTCCCAACTTCATTCCCTCCTAACATTTCTTCCCCAGAACACATCTCCAAGGTAGTTTTTCACTACGAAGCTCCCTCTCACCTCTGTTTTTTTCGCAAGCTACGACGCACCGTCCCAACCAAAAATCAAGTTTTTTTCCAAAATCAAATTTTCAAAACGAAAGGGGGGCTTGATTGAATGTTTATCTTTGATTTTGTATCTTTTACAGGTGGTCATCGTCTTCTTTGAGCAAAACGCGAGTTCTGAAACTCGAGTTCAACCGTCTGGTTCAAAATCTGACGTTTCGAATTCGAGCAGACCGCGAGTTTGTAAACTCGCGCTCAGGGCTCGAGATTGTAAACTCGCGCTCAGGGCTCGAGTTTGTAAACTCGCGCTCAGGGCTCGAGTTTGTAAACTCGCGCTCAGGGCTCGAGTTTGTAAACTCGCGCTCAGGGCTCGAGTTTGTAAACTCGCGCTCAGGGCTCGAGTTTGTAAACTCGCACTCATGGCTCGAGTTTGTAAACTCGCGCTCATGGGCTCGAGTTAGTAAACTCGCGCTCATGGGCTCGAGTTTGTAAACTCGCGCTCATGGGCTCGAGTTAGTAAACTCGCGCTCATGGGCTCGAGTTTGTAAACTCGCGCTCATGGGCTCGAGTTTGTAAACTCGTGTCCATGACCTCGAGTTTTATAACTTGGGGCCAGAACTCGTTTCCTCATCTCAGAAATCCTCAACCCCAAAGGGAAAATCATTTTTTTGCTAACATGTGCTATTCTTTCAGCTCAATATGTCAGGCACTCAACAAGATACCCCCCAGGAAGATGCACTCTACACCCAACTGTTCCCTAAATACAAGTGGGTTCGGCTACAAGACAACAACTATCAGCTCGACCTAGCCGTCTTCAGGTGCCCTGACCCAGTCATCCCTGTCATCCTTAAGGGGCACTACATCTGGCCGGCACTCAGCAAAGCTATAACGGTCCCCGAAATTATGGTCTTCCAAGAAACAGAACTGTGTGTCAACATCTACGGCCGAGGCAGAATACGTCGCGGCTGCTAGCTGTTGTTCACAAATATTATGGATGAAGACCCAGCTAAAAGACTACGGTCACACTTTCTGCCATATCCCGATCTACAGCGACTCACAGAGTGCCATCGCCATCACCAGCAACCCGGTTCATCACTCCCGCACCAAACACATCGACCTGAGATATCATTTCATCAAAGATCACGTGGAAAAAGGGGATATTGACATGTACTTTGTAAGCTCCGAGCTTCAACTGGCTGATTTGTTTACTAAGGCACTGGACGAAAAGAGATTCCAGTTCCTGGTTTCAAAATTAGGCATGTTGAACCTCGAGCCTTTGTAATTCTGTTTCCACTGGTCTGTAAAAAGGGGTGTGTGTGTGGGACTTGTACAAAGTGTGCGTGTGTGTGTTTGTAACTAGTGTGTGTGAGTTGCATTTTGTGTTCTGTGTGCGTTGCATGTGTCCAGGGGGAGGAACCCGAGAAAAATACAAAAATAGTGTGCGTGCGTTTGCATTCATCGAGGGGGAGAAAATTTGAAAAAGGTCAAAAATAGTGTGCGTGAGGTTGCATTCATCGAGGGGGAGAAATTTTGAAAACTTTCAAATTGTGCGTGTGTTGCTTTCAGCGAGGGGGAGTGCTGTAATTGGTCTGAAATGTGTTCTTAATCTCTTAAGGCTCAATGGGCCCAACTACCCGTTCTGGCCCAAAATTTTTCCCCGGCCCGCTCCATTTTCAAAACTCGCGTATATAAACTATTTCGCCTCCTTCTTCCTCATTCTTACGCATCTCCTCATTTCTCAAAAACGAAAAACCAGAGCTCGGCTTTCACATACCTCTTCGCCTTCTTCCCCGTT